CAGCCCACTAAAACAAGCACGAATGCCGAGAATCTAATTGGCCCTGGTCAGAGTCATCGGTAGAATTTATAGGGCATATTGATCATTATAAATACAAATCAGTAGCATTCTACCTTCTTTCTCATTTTCTCACAGGCAATGTGAACGCAAATACATTCAACTACTGACCGGTTCTGCCATACATTTCCATCTGCTGGGGCCGTCGAAATTCAAATTAGACGGATAAAAGCGAGAAAACCTATTGACCAAGGTCAGAGTTGCAAATTGGGGTTAGCAATTTGGAGCGGATAAGTGCATACCTTGGTCGTCGCAAAAATTGCCCCAGCTAAGCAGGCATCGACTGCTCTATATCTCTCTCGGCCACGTAAGTCTTGAAAACTGACAAAAATTTGTCGACGGGGTGAGGTGGGGGCCGGGGGGAGGAGTATGGGCCCGTCTCTCCTCCACGTGCGTGCTCCAGTGGCCGTGGGAACGCCCAGGACAGCACGTGCTACCGGGTGTCCGCGTCCCATCCCGCCCCCTCCAATCGGCGCGACGCTGTCCCATCTTCAAACCGGTTATAATCTGCCCAAAATGGGCATGTAGATTTTCCACCTGCAATTTCACCACTTAATAGTGGTGGTCCCAGTTAAAGTGAGTGCTAGTGGAGGAGGAGGAGGAGGACGGGTATAGACCGCTAGCGACACCCCCGGGGGTTGGTGCAATTAAAACGTTGCACATCCATCAAAACCTATTAAACCCAACTAACTCGCACTTGTGCATATACGCGTGTGCACCACTTACACGGATAAATCGAATTCAATCGATCACTCGCTCGTATGTGAGCGTGTCACTTTAATCGATAACTCCCAGTCCCCTGTGTGTGTGTGTGTGCCCGTGTAATTGTGCAACACCTATTATGTTGGACATGATTAGGTAGACTTGTGCTGTGAACGGGGTCATTAAAACCCTTCAGCTGGCAAAGTACAAGGTCCATTCCAGAATCGCAACATCGTGTTGACCTATACCACCTCCCGCTTTCTCTCACCCTGCAAATCGACGGATTTCAGCTCATTTCAGCAGGACTGGTCAAATCAGGCTAAGTCCTTGGGGACGGTATTTTCACACAGAACTAAATTTGTTTTTACAGCCTAACAAAATCTCCGAGAGTGTCGATGTAAAGTTCCAATTTTGCATATATTTTCACGTCTAGCTCGAGGCAAATCTACGAGGCTTAAATGTAACGCATTTGATCCTTGAAACAAACGTTTAATTCGGTCGGATTGTACAGATGCTGCGGCTCCATCGATCTCAGCACACAAGACCATCACCTCAGCGAAACACCCAATCAAATTCATGGATTTGTGCAACGTAAATTTGTAATTTTACACACATTTTCCCACTCCTTTCGTAGTAAACCGATGAGGCCTAAATACCGTCCGATAAACTGAGCAGGTGTTGTATTTAAATCGACCGAGGTGGTTCATGATGGTGCATAATTTAAACGAATAAGAATTTCGCGCTAAGACAAAATTGACCAAAGCGTGGTCTGCCGTGTCATCTATTAGTAAGACACTGTCATTCGGCGGGGCACACCAAATGCCATGAGCCGGAATATTCGGAGGCAAGCCCAAGAATGCGACAACGAAGGGGAAGCCAACTATTGCAACATCCGTCTCCTAGTGAAATCGCGGACTCTTATGCGTGCTGTTGACCCCCCCTCGCCCCCCCCCCACCCCACCCCAACCCCAACCACTGGTCTGATCAAATTTCACAAACCGCGAAGTGTGCCTGCGGCGAGAGGCGGGAAGTGTATCGAAGCGCGCTACCGTTGTGCGTGCGTGCGTGCGTGCGCCTGTGACACCTGCGCGCGTCAGGGCAATCGTTACACAGGCACGCACGAGGTTTGTCATTTGAGCGCACGGCACACTTTGCAGTGTTGCGATTTTCTGCACAAGCTTTTGTGTGCTTTCGCTGGTGGCGCAGTTTGGGGACAAACACATGTTTGCTCGCGCGTGCGTGCGTGTGAAGCGTCACCTTGTGGTTACCCACCCCCCCCCGCGCGCACCTGTCTGTCTGATTGTGTCGGGGATCGCGAGTGGCACTCAACGGACACCCAAGTCCATAACTGATCCACGTTAGAGGATATTGTGCTGATCATATACCGCCCACCAAAATCGAATAAATGTGGCCCAAGATAGACAACTGTTCACTCAGCAAACATTTGAACAATCTGACCAATTATGTTCTCAACTATCTCTAATTCAAATTTCACTGGTTGTTAACCATAAACGTCAAATTTGATTGGCTTATTGCTTGAAAATAATTCAAGATGCTAGATTAATCTGCTTTCGTTCAAATTATCTACGTCTTATTCGTAATAATTAGCAACACTTACATCCATGTTTGTTTCATTCAAGTATGCGTTTCATGAAGATGCGAATCGGGGAGAAACTGCCAAATCTGTTCAATGTGCTATTAGCGAGGGTGTGGTTGCAGAAGTGGTTTTCCTGATTTTTATTTGAGAGTTCCAATTTGAAAGACGAACCAAAGTGTGCAGCCCAAAAGAAGCTTGAATCTCCAGACACAAAACTTCCACTACAATTTCCGGGGAACATGAATCATCCTGATAAAATTCAGCTGTTGCAAACGTGGTCTGGTCAGTTTATCAGGATTGCCACCAATAGTTGTGTACGACCCAGTCCTTATCGTCAGTGATGATTTCCAT